GATCTATGGATTTATCTATCATATCCACAGGCCAATTGAAATTATTCTTTAACAATTTTTTTTATATTTTTAGAATTAAAAAAAAATAATTAATTATATTTTATCATTTGATCATAATGATTGAATATATTATAATTCTATGGATGATCTATCATATCCACAAAGCAATTGAAATTTCTTCTTTAATAACTATTTTTTGAATGTATTATATAATGTTTATTTATTTTTTATAATTTTTGAAAATAAATAATAAATAATTATTAATTATATTTTCACTTAGAAGTTGTGGAATGCATGTTTTATGGTTGGATAGGAGAGTTGGGTTTTTTCCATCCCATAAACATTAAAACTTAAGAATTATATTGTATAAATTATAGTTAACCCTAGGATTTTAATGAAATTATAATTAACTATAATATATTTCTTTATAAAACCATTAAAATATATTAATTTATTGTATATACACCTCGTTGGGGTCTTATATTTAGTGTTGTTGTTATATTTTTATGATTTGTTAAAGTATTTATAGTGTTTCCAAGTGTATCTATGCGTATCTTAGTTTTTCTCCGATACACATGCGTATCCAAGGCGTATCCTGATGATGCGTCTCTTAAAATTGCCTATCCAATACACTTGGTGTTTCCAATACTTTGAACCTTGCCTACGTTGTAGTGCTTGCAAAAGTTAAATTATTGTATAGAAAAAAATGAATTTGCAAAAGGTAATTTGTTTAATTAAAATATTTTATGGATAATAATATATTTTAATTTAATAAATAAAATAATAATAAATAAATAAATTTTTTAGTTTTGAAGTCAATTTAATATAAATAAATCAATTTTGTTGTCAAGTAAAGAATACAAATATTTTTTCTCAATTTCCTAGTCAGGCCTTGGGCTTTATATGAGGGTTAGGCTTGGGCTCAAGATCTAGGCCCAATGGTCTGGTCATGCTCAAGCTTGGGCCTAAATATGTTCTATTGATATAAAAAGCAAAGCTTAACATGGCCTATGAATAAGTTAAATCCCAACCCTAGGGGTAGAAACAAGGGGACCCTAAGGAGACATGGCCGCCCTATGGCCCAATAAATCCCCACTCTTCATCAATATTTCCCCCTTCCCCCACTCCCCGCCCCAATGGTTGCCACCTTAATGGCCATCCATATTTATTCCCCCTACCCCCCAATCCACTTAGATTATGGCACCCCTCATAAAAAATTTCTAGCTCTGCTGCTCTGCCCAACCCAAACTTAACCTATTGATAGCACTAAATTACCCACCAATCACTTAGATTTTAGCCCCTTCATAAAAAATTCCTAACTCCACCCCTGCTCAACACAAACCAAACCTATTGATAACCCTAAATTATTAGGTTCAGGGAGAGAGATATAATTTGTTAGTAAAATAAATTATTAATTAATTGAATAATTTAGTAAATTAAATAAGTAGAAATCTATGGATAATAATTTATTTAATTTTGTAAAATAAATAAACCAATTATTTAATTTAATAAAATAAAAAATGAAATATTTATTTACTATTGGGACATGACTGGTCCAAGTTATCTAGAACCAAACTTGACTCATTGACATGTCAAATTAAATAAATAAAAATTTATGGATAATAATATATTTAATTAAATAAAATAAAATAATAATTAATTAATTAAAATTTTCACTTTTGAAGTCAATTTAATATAAATAAATCAATTTTGTTGTTAAAAATAGAATACAAATCTTTTTCCTCAATCTTAGTTGGGCTTTGGGCTTTATATGGGGGTTGGGTTTGGGCTCAAGATCAAGGTCCGATGGTCTGGTCATGCTCAAACTTGGACTTGAATATGTTCTATTGATATAAAGGCAATGCCCGACATGACCTGTGAATAGGTTTAATCCCAACCCCAGGGGTGGAGCCAAGGGGACCCAAGGAAGCCATGGGCCCCCATTCCACTTACATTTAGGCCCCCCTCATAAATATTGGGCTCGGGGAGAGAATAATTTGTTAGTAAATTATTTTTAATAAATATCTTTTAAAATCTTTCTTTCAATATCAAATCTCCTCTATTTTACTAATTTATAAATAATTTATTTATTTTTTAAATAAATAAATGTTGAGATAATAATAATAAATTAAATAAATAATTTAGTAAAATAAAATAAATGTCTATCAAAATCTTTCTCTCAATGTCAAATCTCCTTTATTTTACTGTTTTATAAATAATTTATTCAATTTTATTAAATAAATTAATGCTTAGATAATAATAAAAAATAAATAAAAGTTGAGATCAATAATAAGAGAGAGAGAGAGAATTAGGTGAGAGAGAAGAGGGATGGCAATTTATTTTACGGGGAAGTACGAATACACTCGATGCAGAATTTTGAATTCCAACCCCCCTACTTCTAGCCCTCTCCCCCACTATAAACCACATCCTGCTCATGAATTTGGCATCAATTCACGGTCAGGATGCATTCCCCCTGTACTATGGGGCTATAAAATTATGATTTGGGCTGATTGGTCATTCTCCCTTTATTTTATAGGATGGCATAATCGTAAATAATAATAAAATAAAGGGAAATTATCTAAAACTCACCATGAGTTTTCAACATTTCTCTTAAACTCACCACAACTTTCAAAATGTCTAAAGTTTACCATGTCAGTAAGTTTTTATTTTCCAAAACTCACCTTCTATTAGTGCACCATTAGTGCTTCTTAACAGAGGTGTCCATGTTAGCATAAATAACAACTTTCATGACCAAATTACCCATAAATGGTGAGAGAGGAAAAATGATCTTTTTCATTTTTCAATTTTCTTGTTTTTTTGCATTTTTAATGTTTTGTTATAATTTCTATTTTTTTTACATTTTTCTATTTTCTAAAATCTATAATTTTTTGTTTTTTTCTACAATTTTTATTTTATGATTTTGTTTTCCAATTTCTATAGTTTCTATAATTTCAAAATATTTCTTTTATTTTGTTTGCAATTTCTATAATTTTTATATTTTTATAATTTCTATGTTTTTATGTATTTTATATTTGAAAATATTTTTTGAACATTTTCCTTTTTTTCATGCCTAAATATTAAACTGGTAATATATTAACACCCGTTAATTTATTTTGTATATATTTTATATATGAAGGTTAAAATGGTAATATATTAATGTCTATTAGTCTGTTTAACGCCAAGTTAGTGACGTGGTGAGTTTTAGACATTTTGAAAAGTTGTGGTGAGATTAAGAGAATTGCTAAAAACTCATGGTGAGTTTTAGACAATTTCCCTAAAACAAATAAATGCTTAGATAATAATAAAAAAATGAATGAATAAATAAAAGTTGAGATAAATAATAGGAGAAGAGAGAGAATTAGGTGAGAAAGAAGAGGGATGTCATTTTATTTTATTGGATGGCATAATCATAAATAATTATATTTACAACTCCTATAGTTTTTGAATATCATAAAGCCAATTAAATTGTAAGGTTTGTTTTATATGTGATAGTCTTGTAATTTTTGAATTCCATAGAGGCAATTACAAGTTGAAAAGTTTGTCTTATATGTGGTAGGTAGTCTTATAATTTTCGAATACCATAAAGGCAATTACAAGTAAATTACATAAGGATGGTTTGTCTTTATGTGACATTCCTATAATTTCAAAGGAAAAAAGGCAAAAGTTACTGTTAGATTCCATTTCTTACATCCTTAGGCTTTCCTTCTTACACATTTCATCTTAATATATTTATATAGATCTTATTAATCAACTTATAGTGTTTTTCACTATATATTCAATACAAAAAGATGGATAAAAGTACCCAGATTTAAGAACAAAAGTGATTGTTCGCCCTCCAAAACAGTTGTCTTTTTGCCCATATTTTCAGTCAAAAAAACAAAAATATTTAATATGGATTGGTAACAAAGAAAGAATAATGGAGGCAGGGAAGGAGTTTTACCTGTGTTGGGCGATGAATCAAAGTAGTTCTGCCCCTATTATTTTGTCCAAAACATAGTTTTGGTCCAAAATAGCACCTCCCACCCCTTGTTTTTATTGATAAAAATAGCAAAATTTAAACTGGGTTCGGAATAAAGAAGGAAAAAAAGAGATGGTGAAGTGGTTTACCTATTTGGTGTCATTCCGCCTCTCTTTTTCTCTCTAAAAATAGAACACTGTGAAATGTATGACATAAAGAAAGACATAGCAAAAATTAAAAAAGAAATATAGGTGTTGATCGTGAGAATAGAAGGAAGAAAAAAGAATGGGGAAAACTTGACTCCAAAAGTAGAAGAACAAAGTTTATGTGTTTAAGTTGGACGCGATTTAGGAGAGGTTTCCATGGTTTTTAAAACTGACCCAGAAATGGAACCGTTCTGGGCACCGTTTTCTGGTTTGGCGGTTCAACCATCCGAGTCGAGCGGTTCAACCCGTGACATCATAAACAAATAAAAAAACAAAAAGTATTTATATAATAAAAAATATCATAGAAATTTTAATGAAATACAAAAAATACACAGAAAAATACAGGGAAAAAACAACATATGAAAAAAATAAAAATATCTAAATATAAAATAATAAAATATACAAAATACAAAAAAATTCCAAAAAATATAGAAAAATTCCAAACAATATAGAAAAAAAATATGTAAGCAAGAATATGTAATGTCCAGTCATAGAACATGAACTTGTGCAACATGTGAATTACTTGCAGCATTTTTCAGTTGTGCACCATTACCAAAGCTTGATTTTCCAGCTGGGAGAGGAAGAACTTTGGAATCACTATGGGGTTAGAGATAGGATCTGTTGGAATCTCATTAGCTGATTCACGAAGAATAGCATTAAGCATGGCCACATCTAATCTATTCATGCATTGCTCCATCACCTGGCTATCGAGAAAAAAAGATTACCATGTCATATTTAGAGCTTAGACCTAACTATATATTGATAGGGCGAAGGAGAACAGCCACTAGAATATCATTGCAGAAAGACTGATACCTGAGTATGATATAGGAAGCGAATTCTAGAAACATATAAAAAAGGGGGCTACTTATAAAGGAATTCCATGTTCACTCTACATGTAAAAGGGTCCATGCTTAAACTATCACTTAACAACATCCGTGCAATGGTCAATCCATACAATGCTTAATGCTTATGCACCCAGATTAGCACCGGATAATAAAGGCCAATTACAAATGGCAGCTGGGGCACTTGATTTGTGCAAGTACATTAGTAACAGATAATGAAAATATAGACTACCAGTCTAGCCAGCACAGGTAAACAACCACGCTCATGGCCTCCAGCTCGAACAGGGCAAAGCTTTTCACAAGCATCCTTGAAAGCTTCTTTCCAAATGTGTAAAGAAAAGTTCCCTTGTTCTTGGTCACCCAAACTCCCTGAGTTTGATGCCATTACTTTAGCATTTGCTATCCCGGTGGCAGACTGCATGTATGGTGTTAGAGTATGGAGAAACAAACAGAAAGCCAGGTAAAAAAGCTAGCAGTAATTCAGGATGCTTAATCTAGAAAAATCTGAAAATTCAATTATTCGGGAGAAAATCCAGGGTTCAACCTTTTCCAGTGTAGTTACAAATGTCTACAGATCCTCCCAGTCATCAAAACCATTAGAAAAAAAAACTTCTCTTTCTTGTTCAGAGAACTTTCATTCCATTTTAATGGGGAAGATTTCTTTTCGTTTCCCATTTTACCACCATTAGCTTCAATTTGGGGATCATCACAAATTGATAGTTGAGATTCCCCCAAAACCAGGCTAATAATTGCCCTTAAAACAACTGAATTCGACAACCAAAAAGTTAACCTGCATTCAAAGGAAAGCACAATCAGGTGGAGCATGAGAGGAAATAATCAAGTTCCCTAGTGTAGCCTAAGTAACTGTATCAAACAATTAAAGAGAGTTGCAGGCTCTACAAACAAGTTCAAGAAGTTGCCTAATCAAGTTCTCTAGTGGGCTCGGGCAGTCAGGCTTGGTTGCAGGCAAGTTGCCACTGCAAGCCTGCAAGTGCTGCTCCAAGAAGTTGACAGTGGGCTTGCTCGCCAATGCCCAATGCCGAGTGCCGAGTGCCGAGTGCCACTACAAGCTCGCCGTCCACCGCTGCAAGTGCTGGTGAATCTTTTCACTGTCGGACGCTGCTGCAAGTGCTGGTGAGAGTGACTTTTCGCCGCTGCAAGCTCGCCGGTCGCCGTCGGTGTGTGTCGCTGTCAGATGCCGGAGGTGATGGCCGTCGCAGGTGGTTGGTCGATAGGGTGTGAGGGTTGAGAGGACTGAGGATAGAACTCGGGAAGGGTTAAAATTCTAACCTTAAAGCTAAAGGGAATAAGGGATTCGAACTGGGTTGGAATATAATAGGAATTTTATTTTTTTTTGTTTTTTTTATTTAAAACATTAAAAATTTTAAAAACTAACCCACGAACCGCTGCCCGGGTCGAACGGTTTAGCGGTTTGATCGCCCGAGTCAGTGACTTCTGACATTTTCAACGTTTTTTACCAAATTCTGGTTTTTAGTAAAACCGGACCTGGGGGGTGACCAGTTACCAGTTTTTTTGGTCCGACCGTCCGGTCCGATCTTGTTTTGAAAACCATGGAGGTTTCAGATGTGAAAAACCCTCCTAGAACCGTGATGAAACATGGCTCTTTGAAAGCCATTTGACTCAAGTGTAAGAATTTAATTGGTTAAATTCATAAAAACATGTATTAAAAAAAAATTCGAAAACAGAGACAATTTCTTCACTTCTTTTAATTTTCTAATTTAATTTTCCTATTTTTTAATAGTTATTTAGTTGAATAATAATAATGGACTATTATTTAAATAGTTTTGGAGAATATTTATTTCGTAGATTAATTTCATAAATTTTTAATGATTTTTTATTTAAAAAAGTATGGATTATTAGTTAAAGAGTTTCTCTAAATTATTTGATAATTGTTAACTATAATTATTGTTGTAATTATTACGCCAATTAGTAAATTACGCCAATTAGTAATATCTTTTATGAATCAATAATTGTTGTAAAAATTTAATGAAAAATTATTAAATTACAATGATTAATGTAAATTATGTTAAACATTAAAAATTTGAACATTTATTAATTAACTAATGGTTAGTTTTCACTAATGGTTGATCGGTTTTGAGTGACCAACTCCCTAATCCAACCAAATCAGTTTGGCCGGCGAAACAATCTCCAACCAAATTGAATTGCCTAGTGAACACTCCTAATTTTAGCTAAATTAATAGCCTAATATATATATATATATATAAATATATGTATATATATATATTAAAATTGGTCCATCCATGTCAGCATATCTCTCATTTGAGAGAAGTTATTTATCTATTTTCTCCATTTTTTGTATTTTTTCTTATTTTTTAAATATAAAAATAGTAATCATTGCTTATCTTGATTAGATAAAACAACCAATGAGATGCACTTTCCCATAACCTAAATAATCTCTTCTCCTAAAATATCTCCTAAACTACCTCCCCACTTTCTCCAAAATTATCTATAATTCCTATGTATCTTCTAAATTATCTCTAATTCCTATTTATCCCCAAAATTATCTCTCCCCTACTTTTTATCTATATCTATCTAAAGAAATTTTGGATTAAAAATTTAACAATTATTTGAATACTCTAACAAAATTATATAATAACTTTAAAATATTTATTAAAAACACAAAAAATAATTTTATATTTTTACACAGTATATCACGAAACTATGTACTAACAATTTAAATTATGTTTTTCTGGATTATCAATTTAGATGTTTTTCAAATATTTAATAATATCTAATAGCTTTAAATAAATAAAGTTCAAATAACAAAAAAATATAAATATTTTATAGATTATTTAAAGATTTATCATAACTAGATTTTAAATAGTTAAAATAATAGAATTATGTAATAAATTTAAAAAATTTCTTCAAAGTAGAAAAATAATTAYAACATAATATWGAAATTAATAATAATTTAATATATTACAAAATTAATATGAAATTATGTAATAATAGTATAAATTATGATTTTATGGATAATTAAATTCATTAAATTATTGATATTTTAAAATTTAAATATTTTACATATTATTTAAGTATTTAAATAACTAAATATTTTAAATAACAAAATATTTAACATAACTAGATTTTAAATAGTTAAAATAAAGAAATTATGTAATAAATTTAAAAGAAAATTCTGAAAAGTAGAAAAGTAATTGTAACATAATATGAATTTAATAATAATTTAATACTTTTACATAATTTTGTAAATAAATAGTTTCACTTATATCAAGTAATAATTCGAGAAAATAACTTTCAAAAACATTAATTTCTATTAATAATAATTTTGAACTCTTAATCTGCATTTATTATATAATTATATATACTAAAATTAATATTTATTGTATTTCATTAATTATGCATTGTTTTTTGTGATAAATGTATTTTCAATGATTATGTATAAATTTATTTTGTTTTGTTATTTAACAGAAAACTTTCAATAATTATTGGAGATTGAACTACTATTATTGAATTTTTTAAATTTAATTTATTGTATTTTTGTCATAACTTATTGATTAATTAATATTTATTTGAGATTATACTATTTATTGACCAAGTTAATATATTTTTAGTACTTATTGTATTTTTGTAATTATTGTATTTTTTCATTATCAATATATTTTTACTAAAAGCAAATACAAATTAATTTTGTAGTGACTAATATGCCAAAATAAATGCTGAAAATACTGAAAATTATTGAAAAAAATACTCATATGCAAAATTTACTGAATAATAATGAAAAAACACCAAAAATTAATTAAAATTCCAAAATTTCTGAAAAACCTAAGGATTAATTAAAATACTTAAAATAATTAGAAAATTAATTTAATTGTGTTTTCTTGCAAAAAATACTGAATAATAATGAAATAGAAAATGTATTTTAATTATTAATAGTAATATAATTAACAATAGTTTTTTTAAACTATAATTAATAGTAATTATAATTTAAGCTATAAATAGTAAAAAAATATATTTAATTACCAGAAAGTTACATTTAATTAGGTTTAGCCAAGAAATTAGCAATATTTATGAAAATATGATAATTTCCAGAAATTACTGTATTTTAAATAAATATAGTAATTTAATAAGTACAATATTTTAATAATTAATAATAAAAAGTAACAAATCGTTTATAACTTAACCTAACCCAATTATATCTATCAAATTGCAGGCTCAAGCAACTATTTTCTTTTGAGTTAAGTCTAGCTGAGATATGCACCATGCCCACACATTATCAGGGATAATCAGATTTGAAGTCTAATTGGGTATCAAACTTTTAGAGTCCAATGATGGCTTTAGCAGATGGGGCCCAAGCTAAACAACCCCTAATAAGCTCAACTTGGAAGTTATATACATATATGATAAATATTATTATATAATATTTAAATAACAAATTTTATATTAATATATAGAGAAATGTTATATATATTTTTTATACTACACTAAAATTAAATAAAATTTTAATTTGTAAAAACTCATAGTTTTATAATTAACACGGGCATCTTTATCAACAAAAAATGTGCAAGCTTGAGTCTGAGCCTGGACCAACCATCGAGGCCTAGATCTTGAGCTCGAGCCTAACCCTTATATAAAGCCTGAAGCCCAATCTGTACATAAAATGTCTTATTTTCAGTATACGTTTATAAACTAATATTAGATTAATTTAGTAATAATTTAATAAATTAATAAACTAATTTATATTTCCTAATAGTAAATTGATATTTATTAATAATTTAAGAAGCATATATATATTATAATTATTATATATAACATAAGTACTTTTTTATATATGTAATAGTACCAAGCCAGGCTTATTTAAGAAAGCCCGAGCTCGTGCCCACAGGCCTGAAATTTTATCCAAGCCTGAAAAATAATGGGTCAAGCTGAGCCTGGCTGTTGGGCTACTCGGCCCATGAATAGGTCTAATTGTATATATAAACAATTGTATACACCAAAAATCATATGAAATAAAAATTTAAACATCTTTTTCATTTTTTTTAAATGGACCTATCATATCTTGGCTTGGTCCATGGCTTGGCTTGACCCGACCCAAGGCTTGACCCATATGCTAGCCCAACCCACAGCACAATACGAGCCCATGTGAACTCGGGCCATGGATTGTGTCGAACCAACCCCCCAAATTATCCCAAGGGAGGGAGGCACGGCCTAGGACACCCTATGGGTGAGCACGACACGGCATGTGGGCCGTGCCTTGTTGACCCAACACAACCCAATTTACACCTCTACTTGAACCCACCCAATACTGGGGACGAGGCGGGGAAATTTGAGGATTCCCCATCCTTGATGAGTGGTTGCCTTGCCCTGAACCCGCCTAACACTAGGGACGGGGCAGGTATGGGGTAGTGTCTTGACTATTCGGCAGGGAGAGGGATGGGGTGCCCTGCCCTGAACCCACCCCATTGTCATTCCTATATAATTGTCAATTATTAGTGAAATTAATAAAAATGTTAGCTTTTGTAATTATTTTTATTTACTTAAAGTTAATCAAAATTTTATTCAAAAAAAAAATAAAAGCAATTATTAAAATTACTAAAAATTATTAATAAAACTAAATTTATTAAAAAATATTTGTTCATATTAAATTAACAATAATTATTTTTTGTAAATCAACATTAAATGAAAAATACAATTATTAAAATTTTAGATATTAACAATAACTTTTAAATACTTTTAGTTAATTAGCAACAAATTTTGATTATTAATTTAATATTAATTAATAGTAAATAAAATTATTAAATCTTTCAAATTTTCCTGTGCACCACACGGGTCCCGCTAGTCTTTAACAAATAACAATATTTTAATCTCCAATAATTATTGAAATTTATAGCGGAAATACATAATTGTTGAAAGTATATTTATAATGAAAATACAATAAATAACTAATAAATATACCCTGCCCCTCCCCAAGCGGGGCAAGTTTTCTTGAATCTTAAATAGGGATGGGGATGGGAAATTATTTTTACTCCAAATTAGGGACAGAGAAGGAACAGAGTTTGCATATAATTCCCCAAACTCGATAGTAAATTAGTAAAATATCAGTAGATTTAATATTGACTTTTAAAATATCTCTATGTTTTTCCTCATATTCTTATAATTCTAGGATCCCACAATTCCATTTATAAAATACCCCCAAATTGTCATAATCCAATTCCTAAAATACCCCGAATTCCCATAATCCTATTTATAAAATATCCACAAATTAGATTATTTTTAGGTGGTTGCCTTAAGT